CATTAATCCACGGGCATTTTACGTTCCTTGCAGTAGTCATTCTTTAAACTACAATTTTTTTTTAATACTGTGCAAAAAATATATGGTTTCTTTCCACTTCAACATTAAGGTGGTCAATTCTTTTGAAGAATGGAAAAGGTATTATACTCTAAAACCACTCAGTGACACGAGATAGGAAAGTCGAATTGAAGCAATAAAACCACTAAGACATCAAATAGGACAAGTTTCCATCCATCCCAACAATATCACGTATTTTATGTAGGTATTTGTATCCTTAACATCCCCAAACATAACTAGCTCATGACTGATATGGTTTTGTGTATGTAAGGGCGGCGAAAATTATCTTTGCCCGGAGCGGCTAAATAGCTAGATCGGGCTCTTATTCTCTAGGGCTCCAGGGTCAATTCATTACTTTTAATTCCGCTGCCGCCCTGTCGATAAGCCAATATCAATATCTAACACCTGTTCATTGTAACACGGCAATTATTAATGACTGCACAAAGATTAAAAGAAACAAAACAAGCAGGATTGATCACTGGTTGTTGCTTTTCTTGATTATTATATTACAATCAATTTTATTTGATACTTCGAACTGCAACCTAAACTATAAGGCAACTTGAACCTGAAATGTATGTTGAGCAACTGGTAATAGTTAAAGTGAAAACGGGAACATTTAGAATAGAAACTAATTTAACAGGGGAACATTAGACGACTATATTCAATATATAAAAAATGTAACGACTCAATTTAAGCAGCTCTGCGATAACGCTCTGACTGTGGAAATCTAGACGCACTGTACTCAATTTTACAAACACTTAGAAGAAGTAGAAAAAGAACATAAATATGATGCAAAAAATCAACAAAATATAATAGAAGCTAATCTGACGAAAATGTTATCGACTAGGTATCAGCAGTTAACAAAACCGAACAACGGATTGAAAATAAATTTTAATGTTTTCAATTAAAGCTAAATCAAGCACTTATATAAATGAATAATTTTAACGTGTTGGATAGAACTATTGACCGTAATCACATTAAAATACCAATCAGTAAGTAATTATATTCCAGAAATTTCTAATTATTATTCTGGACTAATAAATATTTATTTATCAATGTCACCATTTATAGCATTTTATCACCTAAAACATCAGGAAAATTATAAAATCAGCAAACTCGAATATACCATCAAACATAAAAAATATACAATCATTCCTGTACGACGCAAGACAAGAATAGCAGAAAATGATACGAAAATACAAGTTGTAGTGTTTCCCCATTTCCCGATACAGGAAACAACCAATTTTATACTGTTACTAGCTCCCCAGGCAGACGTTGTTCTGCCCTTTCCAACGACCCTTCCTATAAAAACCCTTAAATTCGCAATAAAAAGTTTTGAGGGTCATTTATCGCGATAAAAACTATCCTCTCCCTCAAGTTGGACCAAAATGCACACATTGTGCAAAATTTCATTGAAATCAGTTCAGTAGTTTAAGAGACCATCGCGGACAAACAACGTGACACGTAATTTTTATATATAAAGATATGTCACTGCGGTTCCTAATCCTAACGAGCAAAACGGATCGTTTCAAACTATTTTTATAAATCATGCAAATTTATGAATAGAATTACAAAGAACAAATATTGACATATTAAAACAATGCCTCAATAAAAATAATAATTTCATTTGTTTTCCAGTCGCTGTGAAGAACATGCAACCAAACAAAGATTGCATTGTTGACCAACTGTACAAAATTAAAACTGATATTAAAGCCCTATATATATATATATATATATATATATATTGCACTTTGCCGTTTTCTTAACATCAATAGTTTTAAAATATTTTAAAATATTTAATAGGACTGAAGTACAGGGTGGGCCAGAAAGAATTGCGGATTTGAAAATATCATTAAAAAAAACTAAGTACAATTCACATACTATTTCTTTTTTCTACAAAAATTTACATCTGGGAAATTAATTTCTTAAAAATAACATCATCCAGATGTGCACCATCGCGCTGCAAACATTCTTCGAATCTGAACCTCAAATTGGTAAAAACTCGCTGGCACATTGCACGGGGAATATCTGCCATTTCTTTCCGGATATTGGTCTTCAACTGGTCAATTGTGGCTGGGTTATTGGAGTAGACTCTACTTTTTAGGTATCCCCACAAAAAAAAGTCCAGTGGTGTAAGATCCGGACTTCTAGGAGGCCATTCAATGTCACCTCGGCGCGATATCAGTTTCTCACCAAACATCTCGTTTACGACCGCCAAAGAGGCATTAGCTGTGTGGCATGTTGCGCCATCTTGTTGAAACCATGTCGCACGATTATAGGCTTCAAATAGTTGCAGTTGTGGAAAGAAAAAATCCCTTAACATGGCTATGTATCGGTCAGAATTTACAGTGACAGATTGGCCTTGTCGATTTTGGAAGAAGTGGGGTCCGATAATTCCGTGCGCTGACATGACCGCCCAAACGGTTACTTTCGGCGAATGTAGAGGCTTTTGATGTTTTGCACGTGGGTTCTCTGCAGCCCAGTAACGGCAATACTGTTTATTCACAGCCTGCCCATTTATGTGAAAATAGGCTTCGTCGGAGAACAGAATATTGTTGAAACTCCGAAAGCGTTCCAGCATCGTTTCAACAAAAGCTCTCCTTAAAATTTGATCATTTGGGTGTAATTCCTGCACAAGTTGAATTTTATACGGATGCAATTTCAGATCTGTCAACAAAATGCGACGCAAAGATATTCTGGCCAACACAAGTTCGGCTGAACGCTTTCGAGTCGATAGAGCAGGATTACGTGAACTGAAGCTCTAACTTGTTCAATTGTGTCTTTCGTTCTTGTTGACCTTGGGCGTCCCGCAGGCTTCTGTTTGAGAGTCGAACCAGTAGCTTCGAACTTTCTGACCCACGATCGAATCACGCTTTCCTTCGGACACTGATTTAGGTCATGTAATCCAAACTCACGTCGAAATAAACGCCGAACAATAGCGCACGAATCGTGATTTTTATAATAATGTTTAACGCAGAATGCACGTTACGCTTCCGTGAAGTGATCCATCGCGACTAAATTTCCGAGAACCGACCTACTTAACCCCACCACCCGCGCAGTCCCCTCTCTAAAGCTTCAAACGCAAGAGTGTTTTTAAAATCGTACTCCTTTCTGGCCCACCCGTTAGTTTGGAAACAACTCCAAATGAAAAATACTTCGCTTTTTGACCGTTATATGTGATGGACAGAGAGAAGAAATTTGCAGTAATACAGATCACAGACTCCTGCATAATCAAGACTTTCACAAATATTCTGGCAACACAACGGTTCACCTCTATTTCTGTCTAAGGCTCATTTTCAAAAAAGACTAATTTTAGCAGTTGTGTCTCGTCAGCAACGCAAAGTCGGGAATTTGCATTTAGAAAAAGCCAAAATTAGGTTTTTTTAGGTGCTAATTAGGTGCCAGGTTTAAAATTAGGTGCTCTAAAATTTTTACCGCAACAAACTCTTGAAAGGAGAAAGAGACGTCTTTATACATTCTTGGGCCCAAGTGTTAACAAGATAAAATATTGGACCATTTGGAAGTGTATATATAAACAATTCATAGCTGAAAATCTGGCAAGATTTGTCAATCTAGGATCTGAGTTATTGTAGAATAAGTAAAAGTGAGATTATCTATTACCTACACAGTAACAGGTGATTTTTCACTATTATTACACTGTAACAGGCTATTTTTCTGCCCACTTCCAAAAAGCAGACGGTACTCAATTCGACTGTATGTTTTTTTTTAACGTGTGTAACTTTTCACTGGGTGAACCGATTTGGATGATTCTTTTTTTATTTGAAAGCTGGTACTTCTAGTGTGGTCCCATATGAATTTGATCATGGTCAGACCAATCGTTTTTTAGTTATTCTTAATAACTCATATTGAAGTCGCCTGTACACAATTTTTAATTTTTAATTATTTATCTCCCTAGTAACCACAGGAAAATAATAGAAAATAGATATTAAATTGCTCAATTTAATCGAAAATCGATTATATTGCGCTCGTTTCAAATCGAATCGAAAATCTGTCTTTTTCTTTGTAAATAGTTCGAAATTTGAAATGTCATGTCAAGTTTCAAAATGAGAAGTCCTCTATTAGACGATAACGTTCAGAAAGGAGAATTTCACTAGTGTATTCTTTATGGTAATCGATTTATATGTCATAAAGAATACACTACAATCGATTTTCTAACTTATTTCTTATTTTATTGTTTTTTCGAAATCTAGATTGTAAAAAGAGCTACTTTTTTGTATTTTACTTAAGAAAAATATGGCTAATTTTTTAAAGTATAAACCATTTGGTTAACTTCAGGCCCAAAAATCCCATTCTCCTTTGCGTTGCTGGCAAAAGGTATCGCTAGCAACGCAGTGATGTTAATAGATACCTATATGAAACATATTAATAGCAGGGAATTAATTGCTAATTAAGTGCAATTAATCTTTATATATAAAAATTACATGTCACATTCTTTGTCCGCGATGAACTCCTAAACTACCGAACTGATTTTAATGAAATTTTGCATACAGGGTGCAGTTTGGTCCAACTTGAGAGATAGGATAGTTTTTATCCCGATACGTAACCCTTAACATTTTTTATTAGGAATTTAAGAACTTTTTATTGGAGAAAGGGTCATCTCAGGAAAGGGCAGAACAACGTCTGGCTGGTCAGCTAGTTATAAAATATATTTATTAAAAAAAGTAATTAGCTTTTTCTAAATACAAATTCCTGATTGCGTTGTTGGCGAGACACAGTTTGCTTACTTATGTATACTCGTACATTGTTGTTTATGATTTTTTTTCGATAGTTTGATTGCATCACAATCTTAACCAAAGAAACGCACGTTTTATTTCGTGTTACGAAAGTTTAACGCTTAACCAGAGAATAGATGCATGTAAGTATAAAAGGCAATTATTTTATGTTGAAGAATGAAGAATCACTCAGGACTTCACTTCATTAACATGTCTCCTTTTGCCTTCTTGTTGTTCTGCGTTCAAGCTTGCTTGATCCAGGTAAAATTCCGCTGCTATATTTTGTTATTATTTTGCAAAAATAAAAGTAGGAAATATGTAGAATTTACAGTAGCCACGGCTTTGAGTTCGCAGTCCGCACCCTATCATAGGGTAGCGTGCGGACAGCGAACTCAAAGTCGTAGGTTCTAATTATTCATTCGCCTATTGTCGTGAATCACTCTCAACATACATTATTAAAAACTAACCTGGAGTGGTTTTCGGAAATATTAATTATTTTAAAAGCATTGCTCTCTCCTTTTAATAAAAAAAAAAACATGGCGACGGGGAACTGCGCAAAGATAAGAGATTAGCCCATCTGCTATCGCTTTTTCCAGCAGTGGTCCATTTTGGGCTGATAAACAAAGAAGAAGGTAGTGGGTATGGTTAGGCCGTTAAATGATTTTTTTTTCATAAAGCAAATAATGTTTAAGGCTATTATTTGTAAAGCTAATAAGGATTTTATTCTTTATCAGAATGTGTACAGCCAGTGCCTCGGAGCTGGACTTGGATTGGGCTATGCTCCTGGATTTGCTGCTGAATACGGTCTCGGATGTGGATCCGCTTTAAACAATGAATTCGCTTACGGCCCTGGACTCGGTCTTGGATACGGCCTAGGTGGTCCTGTTGGCCTGGGTGCTCCTGCTGGTATTGTTGGCCCCGCGTACGGAGGTGCAGGCATCGGAGACGTAGCGGTCGCTGGCGAGATGGGTGTCGCTGGTACCACTCTTATAGCTGGTCAAGTGCCGATTCTTGGCGCTGTCAGATTCGGTGGCGAAGTCCCAGCTGGTGGCGTTGTTTCCATTACTGGAAGTTGCGGCGGAAACTGCGGTTGCGGTTGCAACGGTCCCTACCTGTACTGAAAATGAGCAATAACAATTTTATAATTTCCACATATCAAAATTGAAATATATTACACGATTTATTAGGAAATCTCTTGGTTCATTTGTTACATAAACCCTGTTATTTTACATAATATAGAATACAAGCTGTGTCGGAAACTGCGGTGTGGTTGCAACCGTAGCTACCTGATCTAAACCTTATAGTTTTTAAATATATTGCTAATAGAAATAAGAAAATATATTGCTTTCAATGAAGTATAAAACTAAAAATATAAGGCAATATATAGACATGCTTAGTGCTCGCAACAACTACCGGGTGTAACTTAAATGTTACACATGATCTTTGTTTTGTCCATGTTCATCTTAAGACCTATCCGTTAGGAGGCACTATTGTGATCATTGAGCATAATGCTTAGGTCATCCAGCGATTCAGCGATGACGTCCGGAATATCATCGGAATAACAACAAATAAACCCGAAATACGATTTCTAACAGAAATGTGATCGTATTCTATTTCGTTAAAAATCTTGTAAACAAAGTTTTAATTTCAGTATTTTTTGTTATTAAACTTAAAATATTTTACTTACAAAAGTCAAGTATAGGTATGTGAGTAGGTACTTGGGTACTGGAGTAAATTTCAACTAAGTTTTGTAATAAAGTACCTCCTTAGGTTTTACTTCTGTAGTTAAATTAATACTTAAGTAATTCTTATTTCGCTATAAGGACCTATCTAACAAAAAAAGTCACCTTTCATTATCCTTCGGTAACTTAAAAAATTATATAGGTAGGGTAAAACACTAGTCAGCCTTTTAGTGAGGACTAAAATTTGATTCAACTGTATCTCAATCATTAGAATCATTATCCCCAGTAAGGTTGTTTATTAAATTTACTAAAGAAATTAACAAAACATTATATTTATAATAGAAGTATATAAAAAATCAACATCAAACAAATTATGGCACTTTTCACCAGTAGTCAGCCTCATTTCTCCACAAGTCAGCCATGTCTTACCCTGTAGTCAGCCTCTCACTTTTTCTTACATATTTGGCATAGAAATTCTTTACTATGTATATTTCCAAATATCATCATCATCATCATCATTATTACAACCCTTCCCAGGTCCACTGCTGAACATAGGCCTTCCACAAGGGATGCCACAAAGCACGATCCCGACGCACGTGTATCCATTGACTTCCTGCATGTCTTACCAAGTCGTCACTCCATCTAGTGGGGGGACGTCCTAAACTTCATCTGCCGGCACGAGGCTGCCACTCGAGAACCTTTTTCCCCATCGGTTGTCGGTTCTTAGAGCTATATGGCCGGCCCATTGCCACTTCAGCTTACTAATCCTTTGGGCTAAGTCGATTACTCTGGTTCTGCTGCGGATATCCTTGTTTTTAAGTCTATCACGCAGAAAAACGCCGAGCATAGTCCTCTCCAACTCTCCATAGCTCGCTGAGCAAATTTGAGCTTCCTCATACGGCCAGCAGTGAAGGACCACGACTCAGATCCATAGGTCATCACTGGAAACACGCACTGGTTGTACAATCTACTTTTGAGGTTTTGAGGTATGTCTGACAAGAAGATGTGTCGTAATCTCCCGGATGCTGCTCATCAGAGTTAAATCCGTCGATTGACCTCTCGGTCGAAGTTGGACTTTGATTTGCCGAAGATATAGTCCTTATGGCAGAATCGCTGGAGGACCGAAACACTATGCTCAATGACCTCAATAGTGTCTCCCAACGGATAGGTCTTAAGATGAACATGGACAAAACAAAGATCATGTATAACTTCCATGTCACAATTATGCCAGTAGTTGTTGGGAGCACTAAGCTCGAATTTGTTGACGAATATGTTTACCTGGGACAAATAGTCCGACTAGGTAAGTTCAATTTTCATATATGTCCCCAGTGAATTCAGTACATTTCAAATGTACCTACCATGCAAGGCAATTGTCACATCCAATATTCTTTAAGTCAATCATTTCTGTGTCGCTAGTCAATTCCTCTTCACAGTTTTTGCATCTTACTTTGTTTATTGTACACATAGTATTGTTCTTCCTCCTTTTGCTATTTTTGGAATTCAACAACTTTTCCGCTTTCCTTTTTTGTAATTCTTCTTTCTTTTTTGACTTTGTTCTTCCTTCTTTGTTTTAGCTTCAAATCTCTTAATTTTTTTAATAAATATATCTTTCTTTTTCTGTTCCTTCATTTCTTCTTTTTGTTTCTGAAATTGTCTCCACTCTTTGGAAGAAATAGCTCTTATTCTTTTCATCCCATTTCTAATCGCCGCCATAGCTTGTTAATTGCTCTTCTTTGTATTGATGGACGGATTTTTGACATGATAGAATTCTAAAAGAAATGATGTTCATGCTAAAATATCTGTGTATAGATTTAACCCTTATTGAAAAGGCTTTCAGGTAATATTTTGTGCAACGGGACTAACGGCTGACTACTGGATTTGTAGACCCATTGGTCGGCCCCTGACGTGCTATTACATTTGTACGCGGCTGACTACTGGTAAAATACACTTTTCGCCTTATAAGAGTTAAACTCAAATTAATGAGCAAAATCGGTACTATTCTTTCTGTTAATTTCAACTACATATAAGAAATTCACGAAAAAACCAGTAGTCAGCCGCTTATGGCTGAGTACTGGATCTACCCTAAAAATTCGAAACCCACTAGTCGGCCACTTATATTACAACATATTAAACAAATAAAATGCGTATAATAGTTAATTTTATCACAAAATACACATTTTATTGTAACACAGTATAACAATCCACCACAAATTTCAACAAATACACACAAAAATTTACCGAAAACTCGAGCACATTTCCTTAAAAAAAAAATTGCAACAGCGACGCATCTAGTCATGTCTTTGGTAGCAGTGCAACGAGTGTAGCTCGTCAACCTGACATGATATTGGTTCGTAAGTGTGCGTATTAGTCAATAAAGAGACACAGTTTCAATTAAACGTTATTCTAAAGGTGTAAACAAATTTCAACACTATTTATATGGAAATAATGTCTGTAAAGGCTGAGTACTGGTGCGGGGCTGAATACCGGCTGTTTTACCCTATCTGAATTCTTTTGTTTGCTCATTAAGCATTCACCTTATCCCCGCAACAATTATAATACGAGGGCTGCACTAAAAGTATCGGGAATTGAATATTTCCACTGTTCCTGTCATATTAAAATTTTTTTAATTGAAAATTCCTTGGTTTTAAAAATCGAATACTATTTATTTTAAAAAAAAAAAGATTCTCGATCTTGCCACAAGGTTTTATCAAACTTGTTTAGTCGTTGAGAAAATGGAATTGACTCGAGAAAATTCATGAGCGATGATTTATTATGACTTTCGAAGTGGTTTAACACAAAAACAGTGTGTTGACCGGATGATGAAGCCACATCCAAAACCACAATTTATCGCTGGTTTGCTGAATTTCAACGTGGACGTGTCAAGCTCAGTGATGATCCCCGTCAAGGTCGTCCAAAAACTGCAATCACCCAAGAAAACGTTGATGCTGTGCGTAAGCTGATTGAGGAAGATCGACATGTGACATACCGCGAAATTCAGGCAACTTTAGACATTGGCATGAGTCAAATACAAATAATCTTGCATGAACAATTAGGTGTAAAAAAGTTGTTTTCCCGATGGATACCGCATTCGCTCTGTGAAGAGCAAAAAGCGGCTCGCGTTACTTGGTGCGTCAGAACTCTCGAAAGATTCCACGCAGGATCCTCAAATGCTGTATACAACATCGTATCAGGTGACGAATCCTGGATATAAGCGTACGAATCCAAAACAAAAAACCAGTCACGAGTTTGGGTGTTCGAAAATGAGTTAAAGCCAACAAAAATTGTTCGTTCACGGAGTGTTGCAAAAAAAAATGGTGGCCACGTTTGTCTCCAAAACCGGCCATGTTACGACTATTCCTCTTGAGGGACAAAGAACGGTTAATGCAGAATGGTATACTAGCATTTGTTTGCCACAGGTCGTTTCTGAACTCCGTAAAGAGAACTACAACCGCCGCATCATCCTCCATCACGACAATGCGAGTTCTCACACCGCACACAGAAGAAAAGAGTTTTTAGAGCAAGAAAATATAGAATTATTAGACCATCCGCCGCACAGCCCCGACCTAAGCCCTAATGATTTTTATACTTTCCCTAAAATAAAGAATAAATTGCGTGGACGGAGATTTTCATCACCTGAAGAAGCTGTGGACGCCTACAAAACGGCCATTTTGGAGACCCCAACTTGCGAATGGAATGGTTGCTTCAATGATTGGTTCCATCGTATGGAAAAATGTGTCAAATTTCGCGGAGAATACTTCGAAAAGCAATAAACATATTTTTAAATAGTAATGTTGTGTCACTTCCTTGATTCCCGAAATTTTCAGTGCCGTCCTCGTAGGATCGACGTTTTACATACATACATACATATAATCACGCCTCTTTCCCGTAGGGGTAGGCAGAGACCAGTTCTTTCCACTTGCTACGATCCTTACATACTTGTTTTGCTTCGTCCACTTTCATTATTCCCTTCATACATGCTCTACGGTTTAGGGTACTCTTGACCTGGCCTTTTTTCAAGACGTCGCTGATTTGGTCTAGAAATGTCCGCCTAGGTCTATCCCTTCCAACACTTTCATTCACACTCGCCTTATACACTTTTTTCGTCAATCGTTCTTCATTCATTCTCTCGACATGGCCAAACCATCTCAGCATACCTTTCTCAATTTTTGTCACTACATCTTCTTTCAGACCACAACGTTTCCTTATCTCACTATTTCTTAGCCTGTCACTCAGTTTAACTCCTATCATACTTCTTAATGCTCTCATCTCAACTGCATTTATTCTGCTTTCATGTTTCTTCTGCCATACCCAAGTTTCACTTCCGTACATGAGTGTCGGAACCAACACCCCCTCATGCACAGCCAAACGAGCCTTGTTAGACACCTTCCGACTGCTCATAAAGGAGTGCAAAGCTCCATTCACCATGTTTCCTGCATTCA